TTCACATGGTCACATATTTTTGTGAAATTTGCAAAAATGAGATCTTTTACAAATACAGTTTTTCTTAAAGAAAGCTACCCTAGAGTTGTAAGTTTCGGTTCTTGAGCACCCTCTGACAGCAGGGTGAGTAATTTCTTATAAGTTGCCCATCTTTATCTTAATAGAGGATTATAAATGAGGTTAACAATAATTTAGAGAGGGTGCTTTCTGGCAATCACCATTGTCCTCTCAATATGCCAAACGCCGTTTATTATACTTTGATTTGTCTTAAGGAAAGCAGCTGCAGAAGACAGAAGATTTTCTGGAGGGTTTCACAATGCTAACTAATGAGGAAGACGATAATACTTCATAATTCATGACAGGAAGGGGCTGCCTCCTTGTTATTTGGTGTCACGTTAGCTATTGACAAAAGGACTGCCTGGCACATCCTCTGACATTTTCTTCAGGACTGGGAGAAATGAGAGGAATGTTTGAAATGACTTAGGGGCCTTCGTATTCCTTTTGCTCCTTTCATCTCCCATTTTTTGGGTGGCAAGGGTTGGGCTTACATGCTTCCTATGGTTTTCTTTGGTGAGAGGTTCCAGAGAAACAGGGAGAAGAGGATTCTTGGGCAGTCTGTGAGCTCAGGAGAGGGTCCAGGGATATCCTTGGGGCTCTATGTTGCTTGAACTCCAACTCTGGGCCTCCTAACCACATCACGACACGGAAGCTTCCGAAGCAGTGAGAAACACCAGACTTATGAACTTCATCTACACCAGGATTTAGTAAACAGGATGGCCATCCTAAGTGTGTTAATTTACCGTCTTTTCTCCTTGCTACTCCCTGGGTGTTTTAAATTAATTCAATAAACCATATGATTGGAACATCTTAACTTACTTTGTGAACCTTTTTTGTTCTCTGACCTCTGAGGTTGTTTGCCTGGTAGTATGTTAGCAGGCTATCATTGCATCAAAGTCATTTCCCACACAACAGCATTAATCGGGGTTATTTAACTCTGGTAATAATAACACCCACATTTAAGAGGCTTAACAAACATTTTTCTCTCAACACCATTGAACATGGATGCTCCTAGTCAGGCAGCTTTCCTGGGTAGCTCTCCTCAAAGCTTTGACTCAGGGACAGGGGAACCCTCCATCCTGTGGCCACCCCTCTTTGAAGTCCTTGGAAATTCTCTCTGTTAAACGGGCAGATGGAGAGAGGGGAAGATTATGTAAGGATTTTATGAACCACAACTAGAAATGGCACACAGTATTCCCATCACATTTTATTGGTCAAAACTAGTCACATGGCCATGCCTAAGTGCAAGAGAGGCTGGGAAATGTAGTCCAGTCACATGACCAGGAGAAAAGGGAAATGGGATCTCAGGGATCAATTAATTAGTCTCTGCTGGAGCATGACCATGAACTAATACTAACTCTGAATCTTCATCCCTCAATATTAATTTTGTGAGATTGTTCAGCCTTTTTACCTTGAGCTGGTTGAAAGTGGTGGCTTCTTAAGCCAAATAAAACCGACACAAATAAACAACGCTCATTTTAAAGAAATTAGAAAATACCAATTCAGGTGACTACTTGATATACATCTTAATCAATGGTGAACTCTATTGGTACAATCCTGCTGAATGGTAGGGAGTGTGTGGCTTGATCTCTTAAGATTATATTGAATAATTTGAAGCAGAGAACTAAATACAATAATAGAATTTTAGAACTAGAGAAAGCTTAGAAATTATTTAATCCAAAACTTTAATAGATGCTGGCACTGAACCCAAAGCAGAGGGAAGATAGGCTCTGATGTTGATACTCTTTCCATTTCATGGGGAAGCATAAAAACTTGACTTACCAATGTCACACTGTTAATTGAGAGAAGTGAGCCTGGGACCCAGCGCTTCAAATTATGAGTCAATGCGCTCTTCACATATATTTAACACCCCCTACCTCATGTATACATATATGCATTCGTGCTCCTCTTCAGAGTCATTCATGTGAGTTTAATTTACAGTCCACTGAAATGGAAGGAAGACATGATTAATGTGCATTATTCTCAAAATGAGGGGCTAGCAGGTCTGTGGTGTTACATCTGTAATAACATCATTTACACAGCTTGTGTGCTGTTTTGCAAATAGCCCCAAAGTATTTTGTGTGTTGGTCACCAAGTTCGAAGAGAAATGAGATATTCTTTTCACTGGTCTGGAAAAGAGCAAGTTGCAGTGGCTGACTTCAGAATGCCCCATTGTTCCAAGCCTAACAGGTGCAGGTTCCGACACTAAGGGTCGGATCCCATTACCACTCGAGTTGCATGGATCACTGACCTTGAAAGGGGTCTGCACACACATCAGTGTGGGACCCGTCCTTTAGGAACCACGGCCACTAATCTGAATGGCTATTTAGAGCTGTGAATGGCATTTAACAGGCGTCCCTCCATTCTTCCAGGCTCATTGAAGAATCCCAGTCCTTCTCCTCCTGCTCATTAGAACTGACACTTCCCAGGCCAGAGGGATGACCAGGATGAATCAGAGAGGTGAGATCTTCATCCTGAAGGACAGGGTACAGTTCAGGGCCAGCTGGGGATGAAAGAAGTCACTCTTGGCAGTTGGGGCTTGGAGCTTATGATTGCGTCTCCATTATAACAAACATGCAATTATGTGGAATATCTCAAAGATACCTTCCTTTGAAAGTTGGATGATTCAATCAAGTCATTTTCATAGTATTCTCTTAAAAAGAGTAAATCCTTCAGCTCTTATGCCTATAAACCCGCCCACTCTTGACTTCTGAAACAGACATTTTTCCTATGAAGCTTGTTTGATGTTCTGTTTGCATTTTATTTACATCATTTAGCGTGTAGCTTGCTTTTGTATGCATGGTGGTCATATTTATGATGGGTTAATTTCTTGAAGTTAAAATATAAGAAAGGGCATTACAAATATTTTAGTAATCCAACTGAATTTTGAGGGCATGTGGCCACTGTATGGCTATTTCTTGGAGCAAATTTTTTGCTATTGGGTGCAAACTAGGCATTTGCCACTCTCAAATCTCACAGTTAGACTTAGTTGCTCAATTGATTTCCTACTGATTTATTGAAGGTAGTAGCATTACATAGAGGCATATAGATAACTTCCATCTGGCCTAAAAAGGCAAGATGGAAATGATTTTCTTGGGGTTGATTATCCAGCTAGTCCATTCATTCTGATTAAAGTAGATGCGGCTTACAATTGCGGATGTGCTTATAAGGGAAGATGCCAATGAGGAGAATGATCTTAGATACTTTCAGCGACATTATGAGCAATCTTTTTAAAAAGCGACACTCTGGAAAATTTTCCATTGTTTTGAAATGGCACAGTGGCTTGCATATGTATTCGTCATATTAAGTAATGATTTCATTCATTCATTTAGCAAACTATGAACACTTTTTATGTGCAAGATATTAGAATATAAGGCCAAGCGTGACATGACCCTGGCCATGGCTTACAGTTTGGTGAAGGAGACAAACTTCTAGCTACCAAATGCTGTAGCACAGGTTTTGGTGGTCATCTATACCATCCTAAGGAGATGTCTACCTATGTATATGCTTACATGAACTGAACTTACGGGCCTCTAGGGCAGTGGGAGAGTCCTGTGAGGGCAATGTGGAGGAAGGATCATGAGTTTTTCCAAGGAATGTCAGAGAAGGCACGAGGGAGGAAACTCCGAGCGCTTTGCCAGACAGAAGAGGCACAATGAACAGAGGAACTGAGGAGTGAGCAAGAGAGGAATGGAGGCGAGAGTGATCTTTTTAGAGCAACTGGAGCATGACATAGACATGGAGCAGATGTGGTCTGTGACACAAATACATACACGAAGCAAAGTAATTAGGAGGGTGGAAATTTCAGCCACATGCTCAGGGGCAAGAGGTATATGACTTTACTGATCCTTCTATTCATCCACTTATTTGTAGAAACTCTCATTTTGCCATGTGAAGGAAACTTAATCTTCCTCAATTTGCGCTGAATTTCCTCACTTTCCCTAAATGCCAGGGGCCTTATGAAGATATAGATGGTGGTGCAGTGGGGTGGGGCATCAGGACCCTAGTTATCAGTTCTCCAAGCTGGATTCCAGGGAGGTGACCATTGTCCTATCTGACCCTCTGTCATTAGCTCTCCAGGGCTGCCACCAAGCTGTGTTCAGAAGGCTATGGTGCTGCCCCCCAGGGGGCAGGAATCAACTTCTAGATCATCTGCTTTATCAAGCTGTCTAGGGCCTGCTTTGGTTAGTCACCCCACATCCACTTCTCTGAACATTAGCTGCCCATCTGGGCTATCTGTTAGGAAATGAGGCATGGGATCTTACACTCTTGGGTCACACCACCTTATTGAGGAGGCATCCGTTTGCCCTTTTCCAGGAAGATCAGAGTACAGGCCTCCTTTCTCAGGGACTCCAAGCTTCCTTGGTCTCATTACCTCCTTTTCCTACGATTTTCTGCACCAGGGCTAGCTTTTGTAAACTTGAAGGTGTGGGATGTGGAGTTGGTAGAGGTGGTGGAGAATCTTTGCTCTTAGTCATATTTTTTCTTTCTTTCTTTCTTTCTTTCTTTCTTTTTTTTTTTTTTTTTTTTGCTTAGGTTCTGTGGATTTTTTTTTTTCTTTTGAAGACTAGGCATTTGAAACTCAAAAGCCATTAATAGTTTCCTTTCTTCCCTGTTTCTACCTTGTAATCCCTTTCCTGAAGTAAGGGATCTAGAAATGTCGATTTCAGTGTTCTCAGCCACAGCAGCACATTACCATCACAGTGAGGACTTAATGACTAATACAAAGCAGTAGGTCCACTTCCTGAGGTTCTGATTTAATTGATCTGGGTTCGGGCAGGAATACTGGTGTTGTTTAACAAGCTCCTCCCCAGTAGGTTCTAACTATAGTCAGGATCAAGAATTACTAGACTAGCAGGGTGGTTAAGAAAGGTCCAAAGTATTAAAGAGAATGCAGGAAAAACATCAGCTTATATTGCAAAGTATTACTCAGGTCTAAGACGCCAGCACTGCATTTGGAAGAATCTTGAATTCCCTGTAATGGAACTTTGACTTTATCATGTTGGGAATACAAGACATTGAAAGAAAAAAATTAACTAGTATTTACTATACACCGTGTGCTAAGTGCTATGTTTTAAATAGTCATCTAATTTCAGCCTGAGATAAATTCTGCAAGGTAAGTCTTCTTACCCCCTATTTTGCAGATGGGGAAATGGACCTCAGTGAGGTTATATAAATTTCTCAGGGTTATTGGGTAAGCAAATATCAGATCGCTGATTAGAATCCAGATCCCTGATTCAAAACCCAGGCTATTTCATGAAATACTGTTGCCTCCCAATGTGATGTGATAAGAGAGTTTATAAATTGAATAAATCAGTTAAGAGTTCTGTCAACAAAATGGTAGAAGAGGGAGTGGTGTCTGGGTGTCTCCGTGGGTTGAGTGTCTGGCTCTTGATTTTAGCCCATGAACCCGGGGTTGTGAGATTGAACACTGCGTCAGGCTCTGCACTGGGCATGGAGTATGGTTGGCATTCTCTCTTTCCCTCTCTCCCTGCTCCATACCCCGACTCTTGTACATGCTCTCTCTCTCTAAAAATAAATAAATAAATTAATTAATTAATTAATTAATTAAAAAATTAAAAAATGATAGAAGGGCCAAAGTTTAGCCCCAAAGGAATGGGTTAGCTTGTGGCTGTCATTGCCTTCTCTCTCGGTTGTTATCATCATACATTCAATGGTTATTGCTGCTTAGTTGTTTTTTTTTTTAAAGATTTTATTTATTCTTGAGAGAGAGAGAGAGAGAGAGGCAGAGGCACAAGCAGAGGGAGAAGCAGGCTCCATGTAGCGAGCCCGATGTGGGACTCGATCCCAGGATGCCAGGACCACACCCTGGGTCAAAGGCAGATGCTAAACCGCTGAGCCACCCAGGGACCTCTTAGGTCTTTTTTTTTTAATGACTGATTTTTTTTTATTTGAGTGTGGTTGACACGTGTGAGATTAGTTTCAGGTGTGCAGCATAGTGATTGGACAAGTTTAAACATTATGCTGTGCTCAAAACCTATGTAGCTACTAAGTGAAAGCCTGTACCTCCCCCCCCCCCACCTACTTGGCACATTGCCCCTGCACTTTCCCCCCCTGGCTTTGTTCTCTGTGTTTATAAGTCTGAGTCTGCTTTTTGTTTGTTTATTTTTTTTTTAAGATTCCACATATGAGTGAAATCATATGGTATTTGTATTTCTTTTTCTGAGTTATTTCATTTAGCGTAATACCAGCTAGGTCCATCCATGTTGTCACAAATGGCACGATCTCATCTTTTTTATGGCTATCTCATACTCCATTGATTTTCCTATTCACTCATCTATTGATGGGCTCTTAAATTGCTTCTATATCTTGGCTATTAAAAATAATATTGGGGTCATATATCCTTTCGAATCAGTGTCTTTGTTTTCTTTTGGTAAATATCCAATAGTGGAATTTTTGGATTACATGGTATTTCAGTTCTGATTTTTTGAAAAAACACCATACTGTTTCCCACAGTGGCTGTAACAATTTCCGTTCCCACCAACAGTGCCTGAGGGTTCCTTTTCTCCACATCCTCGCCAACATTCGTTGTTTCTTGTCTTTTTGATTTTAGGTATTCTGACAGGTGTAATGCAATATCTCATTGTGGTTTTGGTTTGCATTTCCCTGATGATTAGTAATGTCGAGCATCTTTTCCTGTGTCTGTTGGTCATTTGTATTACTGTTTAGGTCTTAAGCTTGCTTTTAGCATGAATAATTTAGTGACTCAGAAGTTAACATGACTTACAGTATTTATTTGTATTTGTTCTACGAAAATAGAATTCTTTACTAAATAATCAGGTTTTTTTTTTACCAACCTCTCCCAATTTATCTATTTATTTATAGTAAATATAGCTTTTGTAATTAATGTCAGCATTTTTTTTTGCATGTAAACTACAGTGTCACAGAGCAAAGAAAGAAAGCAAAACTCCAAAGTGCAAATAAAATATCCTTGCTACTACCTTGAATGGGGCTTACATAACCTTTGCTTTCCTTGTACGCTTCAGAGGAAGATTGTCGTACTTTCATCTTTAGATTGCTTCAATCTCTTTTCATGACAGTTATCAACATCATTGATATAAAAGTTGCTAATTATGTTCCTTACCTGTGACCATTAATTTTCTTTTTCTGCTTTTCATTATTTCTGCTGTTCATTGTGTATGGGGGACAATGCACATACAATGCTCATGTGTACTGTCCCCATTTTTCCTCCTTTAGTTAAAGGTGGGCAAAATCCCTTCTTTAAAACTTGCTGCTGGATAATTTACTTGCTAAGAGATTGCCCTGCATTTTATTGAGTGATTTCTTATTAGAGACATCAGAAAATCAGAATATATTCTGACATGGTTTTGCTTCCACTGGTTATTGTCTATTTACTTTTCCCAGTAATCCAGGCCTAGCAGAGCACCTGGCACAGCTCAACACATGTTGACTCCAATATGGTCTTCACGTGCTAAAACAGTATGGGATAAGCCAGGTACATTTAATCATGCATTGCTGAAATTCAAATGTCCTTGTTATACATCAGGTGTCCAGAAGTATAAGATTCTGATTTGAGAGGAATTCATGATAAATTTCCCCTTTCTTCTGATACTGAAGTCATTCATGCCCGGCCTTCCCATCTCGACATGATAGTGAGGTTCCCTTTGATGTCCTACAATCTCCATATTTGTTTCATTTCCTCTTCCAGAGCCACACACTTATTTATCTTCTCTGTGTATGTTTTGGGGATGTATCTACTTAGTGAAAGAACCTTTTCAATAACCTCTTTTGCTTTCATTATGTTTCCATCAGCCTTCCTCTTTTATTACACAAGTTGACCTGCGCCCCATCAAAGCAGGAAGAGGTTTTCAGCATAAAGGATCCAGGTAACACAGAAGAGAGATGCATAGTGGTGGAAGCCAAATACCGAGGGTGGCAGCAGCTAGAAAGGTGAAGTCAGGGCTAGGTGGAGGAGTAATGAGGGTGAAAGGAGGACATCTCAGGAGGGATGTGTGTATTTGAAAAGGAGGGCAGAGGAAAAAGATAACCTAAGAACGAAAACATAAATACGGTGGTTCATCTTAAGGAATTGGAATTGAGAATAATATGAGCCCTGGCTTTTCAAGTCTTAGATGAGTTCACCTGGCTTGTTTATTTTTGACTTTTATTAAAATCTGTTATTATGACTATTTTTTTGCATTTATCCTTTAGAAGACGTCTCCATTGTTGTGATATTGTTATATTTTGTTGTGTTATGTTCTTTCTTTCCTATTTTTTTCTCCTATAAGCAGTGTTGGGCATTGTTTATCCTCAGTAATGTATTTGGAGTAATCTTTGTTTTTTCAAACAAAGTCTCTGGTATGTGCATATATCTGAACTTTAATTTATGCCATGCTGTACAACACTGATGGTAGTCAGTTGTAGTTGAATTAAAAAAAAAAAGATCAGTCCCAGGAAAGAATGATGATGGTGAGGGGAATAGTTTAAAAAATTGGATGACCTGACAGGTTGTTTTGAATGTTTCATGGTTAGAGAGGGAGAGGCAAAGAATAACTTGCCAATATTCTTTTATTAGGTAAGATTATTTGAAAAGAGTGAGATTTCAGAAACTCCTCAAGTAAAGGGAACATTCCAACCAGCAGAAGAAGGAGCCTAGGAGGCTGGAACAGAGGACCTGAATAGAGAAGCTGTGCAATATGAACCTAATGCTTATTTCGTGGAGGCTCCTGCCCTGACTTTGTCCACACCTGACAATTTGTTGGTTTTGGTGCAAGTCTTTCGTCCTTTTTTGTCCTGACCAACAGCTTTTTACAGTTTGGTGAATGAAGTCTGGATCAGGCATAGTCAGCAATTGAGATCGCATGCTGGAAAATAAGATAAAGAATAATAATAACAAAATTGTGTTATGGAGATCACTTCCTTTAGATTATAGATAGACACAAATAATGCTGTCCTACTCTCCCAAATTTCCATCTCTGAGAAATTCTGTCTCAGCTCAATTAGCCTACCTTTTATGAAAACTTTTCTATGTCCCCAGCAGTGCCTGATGTTCTCTTTCCTTTCACTATGAGAGCATTTTCAGTCTTGTCTTATCCCCACAGTAGGCAGACTATGCTTTAACTCCTTTTCGCTTGCATATAAGAAGTGCCAAGTATATATGTTTGAATGAAATACAGATTAAGATGCATGGCCGATATTGAAGTAATGTTTCTATTTCAACTGAATTGGCAGGCTCTGCTCTGTGTTTGTAATGATCACGTAGATAATTCTCTATGCACGCGTACATGTTTTAACTTTTATGTGAGCATGTAAGTGTTTGAAGGTGGTGGCAGGAAGAGGGGTGGCATCCAGGCTCTGGAACTGCCTGCCTTGGCTTCCAATCATAGTGCTTTCATTATCCAGCTGTGCGATTTTGGGCAAAGCCTTTACCATATCCTATTGAAGTATTCTCTTGTGTGATGGGGATGATAGCAGCACCTGTCTTATAAGACAGTTGTAAGAATAGAATAATAGAATACATGTAAAGCATTTAGAACAATCCCTTTCACTAGTGAATACATGATAAATATTAGCTATTGATATAATTATTATTACAGTCTTGTGTACAAATTCTGTCATCTGTGTAGTTCTTATCTCAAATACCAGATTATAAACTTCTTGTGGGTAAAGACCGTTTCTCTATTTCTTAGCTCAATCTTAAGCATACAGTAAACTTTTAATAGTTTTCTATTTTTTAATTGTTGGAAATAGGGTGATACGCTGGAGCCCAGAGAGCTCATGGAGCCTCATAACATTTCCCTGAAACATTCCAGGCAGTAAAAGTGTAAAGGTAAATGATAGTTCTGAACCCAGAAGAATCCCATATTTGGCCAGAAAGGCCAGAGCCCTCTGGAAGTTTCTGAGACGGTAATAAGAAATATTTATAGCTATAGGCAAAATCTTTTTCAACAAATAGTATTAAAAAGAAAGTATATATATTCCAAGTTCTAACAAGATCCAATTACCACATAGCTGATGGGTTTAGGCAATTTAAAATTTTATTTTTTTCTTGTTGCTGCTTTTGTTGTTTTATAGTAATGAGATTTGATCTTAAGTTCTGCTTCGTTGCTATGTCCTGAATTAATCTTATCTAGGATTATCTAGGTGGTATGTAGGTGGTGCAGAAGTTAGCCTGAGAATATGTAGTACAAATTTTCAGACCCTGTTCAAAGAGGAAAAGGAAGAAAGGACCGAGAACATTGTGGTATTGGAAAAATATCCTCATCTTTTTCAACATTTTGAGATGAGTGAGACTCCACATACATATTGTTAAGTAAATGCCACCTTCACCATGAGACCATCAAATATTTTAAGAGAAATTAAATCCTTCAGACTCTGATTCTTTTACACTGGACTCATCAGAATCTTCTTTTGTAAGAGCAACTTGATAGCTAAGACACCCCTGGGGCCTTTATTCTTGAACGAGGAGGTCATATTTTTGCCAATGCTCTTTGCAACCTGAACCAAGAGAAGCTCAAGTTCAGCTTCAAATTTGGAACCCACAACCCTGAGTGAGTTTTAATGCTGATAAATTTATTCTCTCCGCAAACTCTCAGAGGCCACGCTTGGGATAAGGTGGATATCTTATAAAAGCATGTATTCTGAGGAAGGAAAGAACTGGTAGGCCAGTCAAGGTATATCAGAGGGTCAGGTCATGGGCAAAAGTCAACCTGTGCTGTGGCATTCTGGGAGTGCTGAGAAGTGGAAATCCAAAGTAACGCACCCTCGATTCCACACAGGAGAAGAGTTAAATGTCAGGGGTGAATGGGTTTTGTGGATGGAGTTCTCAATGAGTTCACAGTGAATACTGTATGTGTTCATTCATTCTTTGAACAAATACCCATTGAGTAGATGCTGTGAACAAACATAGCGCAAGTCCTAGAAATACAGGGGTAGCAAGGCAGACGAGTCCCTTTCATCAAAAATAAGCAAAGCTGGACACTAGTTAGAGTGGGAAGGGCAGAATTTAATCAGTAAGAACTATTGCAATAGAGAAAAGAGTCCAGAGTGAACTGAACTCAGCTTTGATCTGTGCAGAGGTGATCAGATATTTTAAAGAGAGAAGGGGAAAGGAGGAGGGAAGGTGAGGACGGGGGCTCGGTAGAGTCAGGGAAGAGAAAGGTTCCAGAAAGCAGGCAGGGAAGTTGGTCCATGTGAAACTGGTGTCTATGCTATTAGGTCCCTACTCTCCCACAGTGACTACGAGGCGGGGCCCTATTTGCAGGTGTTGGCTGGAATAAATAGCAAATTCTTTTGGCAGTCTTGACTTTTCTCAGGCAGGCACTTGAAGGGGGACTGGGGTCATCTTAGGAATGTGGGGTTCAACTGTTAGAAACTATGTTAGTGTTCGTTCAAATCTTGGTACACCAAGACTGAGGCCCTAGTCAAGAAGAGGGCTCACAGATGTCCCTCTAGGGTTTGGTCAGGAAGAGAGTTTTGGTCACTTCCCTTGTGGAACTCCATTCTATCAGGAAATTAGAGCATAACATTTTAATTAAATGTTTCATTGAATCTATTTATATTATTTTATGATAAGGGTGCTTATTCTGTTCTTCAGATGTTCCTCACAGGATTGGTAAAGAAGAAAACTCATCAATTCTCCAGGACATTAATTAACTTGAGAAATTCATGGAAGAACTACTTGGAGTCAAGTGTGACGTATAAATGGTATCATCTATTTCGACATGTTCCTTTCACTGTCTTCAAAACATCTACGAGGACGTCTGGGTTGCCTACCTCTCCATTTGGCATCCCCAAATGAGGTATGGGTTTATATTCAGAAAGTCTGAACTCTCTCAAATCAATGATTCAGATATGTCATTTCAAATACATGAATACATCTTTCTTTCCCTATTTTTGATTTTGACAAGGAGTTTTGAAAATTTTCAGAACCAACTGCTGTTCCAAGTCTAGAAATAACTTCTTAGTTCAATCAGCCCCAGCACTATCTTCTCGCCACTTCTGTATTTTCATAGTGGGAGACTCAAAATCAGAGTAGAAGTAGGACCTGAGTTCTAGTCCCAACTCTGTCATACTTTATGATACAGGACAAGTCAACCTCTTAGGGCTTCAATTTCCTGCCCTGAGCTCAGCAGAACACAGTAAGATGTCCCCAGATGGAAAAGTGCTGTGAAGATTAAAATCTGTTATACACATGCTAGTTTTCATTAATTTTGTAAGCATCCATTGTGTTAGGAGTGCAGAGTGCTGGCTTAGGCGCTATGGGGGAGGCAAATTATGGACACGAGACCTGATTCCTACCATTAAGATACTGAAAATCAGTTTGAATAGATGACATAAGGAATTAAAAATGATACAGAGAGAACTGTGATTTTTGTTGTAGTTTTGCTTTTTTTAGGGGAAGGAGTTGAAAGAACCATGAACACATTTTTCCCTCTACATCTTAAGCCTTATATAGGAAGGTCTAGAAAACACCACTATATCTAATGTGCTATTGTCATCTATTAGAAAAAGGATACAAAGTAAGGCAGTGATCTGGCCACACGCACAAGGAAACCAGCCACCCACTTCTCTGATGCAGCACATGATGATCGGCCATGTGGTGTCTCCCTCCATGGGGCCATTGTCTGGAAGGATGAGTGATAGGCAAATGTGACTGTTCAGAAGAATCTTTCCTCCAGAGAGGCAATATGTGTCCAAAATGGATCAAAATCTCATTTCTCCCCTCCATCTTTAGTTAAAAGTTTCACCTGGGTGATTTGTCAATTTAAGCACGACTGAGGTTCAAAGTCCTGTCACCCTGCAGGCCCTCGACTTCTTGTCTCTTGTGGTCCCCTATCATACTTCCCAGAGCTTGGGGCTTGCAGCCATGAAAAGGAGCAAAGAGATTGTCTGTATCTCAACAAGGTCCTTGGCGTGCCAGACCAGGAGGGCCAGGTTGCTTCCTTCTCCAACCTGCTGCCTCCCTGGAAGTGACAGCTGAGGACTGAGTCTGCCACGAGGGCCAAGTGGCCAAGGGGACAGGGCACTCAGGATTCCTCTAGTCCCCTTTCCCGTAGTACGAAAATGACAGTGCATTCTTCCACAAGAAGCATCTGCAGCCCAGTAAGGGCGTAAGTAACAAAAACTTCCTCTGCAAAGCCAAAACTGATGGAAATCCTCAGCCTGATTTTCCTTTGGTTTGAAATGCATGCTGCTGCAAAGGCAAGTGACCTTCCTTTATTGATGGAATACCTTGAAAATTTCCTTCACAGTCTGTTGTTGCCATGCCCGACTGAGCAAATCCGGCTCTCTCCCTCTGCTCCCTAGGGGAAAGCCTCAGGACCCCACCGGAGAAAGGGAATGATCGATTAATGATGAAATTGGCCAACTTGCCAATAACGATAAATTGCTTTGTTCTTCCCACAGCGAGGATGCCAGCCCCGTGTGTAGCCGGTGCCTGGAGACAAAGGATGGGAACCCCGCTCACAATGAACATAGATGAGCTTTCAGACCCATAATGAGCACAATGATAACAATAAAAGTGGCTCACGTGTCTGGCTTGTTTTTGACCAGATTTCAAATGTTTCACGCAGTCTTATGATGAGATATTTACATTTGTTTGCAGGAGAAATGCGATGGCAGTAGTCAAGATTTGGCCGGAACCAGCTTCTCTCCCCTTTATGTGGGTGGATGAGAGTGTCCATGAACGTGCACATTTTAACATGTATAAAATACTCTAAAGACAGCAAAACAACTAGAAGACCTCCCGGAAATCTGCAGTCCCCTTGAGGAAATAAAATTTGCACATGAAACCACGTGCAAATATATATAAAACAACGTGTCAAAAAGGACAAATTGATATACACCGCCACTATTTTTATTTCGTGTTTTTGAAATCATGGAATTAATTGTTTTTATTATAAGGGTAATATATTAATTATCCTCTGCCCATGTAGAAAATCCACAAAATAATGAAGATTGAAGTAACTGTTAACTGCAAGCCCACCTCTCAGGAACAAGAAAAGCGACCGTGTAACATTTTAATGTAATTCTTTCTGGTCTTTTTAATTTTTTCTAAAGCTTACAGACTTTATTCATAAAAAAGTGTTTTGCACATATTCTATTTACTCTCTAAAAAAAGGTGGAGGGGGGAATGCCTGGGTGGCTCAGTTGGTTAAGTGTCTGAGGTCATGATCTAGGGGTCCTGGGATCCAGCCCCATGTCTGGCTACCTCTCAGTGGGGAGCCTTCTTCTCCCCCTGCCCTCCTTTGCCCTCCCCACCCTGTTTGTGCTCTCTCTCGCTCTCAAATAAATAAATAAATAAATAAAATCTTAAACACAACAAAACCAATGTGCCATAGCATTAACTACATTCACATTATTGTGCAACCAATTCTGATCTTTTAAAAAAAAGGCATAGACACATGAATATGATAGATTTTTATTTTTTTATTTTAATTTTTTGGGGGGCATAGATTTTTTTATTATACTTATTTTTCTAAGTAATGTTTTTTCTTAGTATCAAAGATAATGTTCAGTGCAGAATACTTAGAAAATACTCATTATTCTAACACTAAGAAATATTAATGTTATATTTTATCAGTTATCCTTCTAGCATTTTTCCATGTGAGTAAATGTACCTGCAAAGGTATGTATCTATACACCATTTGCATTTGAATTTACAAAGACAAAATTATATCAAAGGTATCAAATACCCTTTCCTTTAGGATTATTTTGTGAGTTATTTGATACCAATAAATCTGCACCTATAGTTTTATTGCCTTTTATTTTTTCATTCCACATTGGTGAATGCAAAATGAATGATGTAGTATGTATGTACTATCGGCATTTTGTGGTCACTTCCAGTGGAAAGGCTGGAGTAGTTTTTTTTCTTTTTTAAGATTATTTATTTATTCATGAGAGACACACAGAGAGAGGCAGAGACAGGCAGAGGGAGAAGCAGGCTCCATGCAGGGAGCCCGATGTGGGACTCCAGCCAGTTCTGAATTGAAGGCAGAGGCTCAGCCACTGAGCCACCCAGGCGTCGCAGGGCTGGAGTAGTTTCAGGTGAAGGAATGTAATTTCTCAGAGAGAGCTTTCTAGAGGAGGTGAGTGTGAGGGCTAGGAGGATACAGGACCAGGTCCCCCACCTTCTTTGTCTACCATGAGCCTGTGGGCTATTTCTGCTGCTCTTCTGGTGTCTGAGGCATTTGCCGGGGGAGTCAGAGTTCAGCATGTACCAGAGGCGAGGGACAAGGGAACGTTCTGTGGGTTGTAGAGAAGTGGCCTGGTCTGACTGCTGAAAATCAGGCTTCCTGTTTCTTGTTTGCTGGCTAAAAATGTCTTCTGTTGAGGTTGTAAAATAATGGTGCTGTCGTTGAGTGCTGAAGCCAAGAAGAGTTGGTACTGAAAGACAAATACTTATCTGCTGCCTAAGATAGAATGTTTCCAGATACCCAAGAGAATTTAAAAATACTCCTTAAAATATAAAATAATTTCAGAATTTCAGGCAATTAGTAACAAGTGGCAAGTAGGCCAGATTACAGAGAGCTTGAATTGTATCCTGGGGCTTGACAAATTGAGACTCTGGATTCATAGCAGTCCTCTTTAATCAGTGATTCATATAAATTGATACATGTCACTAGTCATTTTATCTACTAATCACACAGGCTACAGACAAAGCTGAGAGATTTGCTATTAGATTGTTGGGCAGGGGGTGGGGGAGGTGGAAGTAGCATGTGTAACTTGAGGTCATAAAAATTCATTTACTATGCCAAACTAAATATATAAAATTTGTAGTTGAAAGAGATCTGGGTACTAGATTTAATTTTGTTTTTGTTTTTTAACTGATTCGCTGGGTGATCTTAGACAATCACCCAACTTTCCTCATGTTTTGGGTTCCTTTTTAGTGTAATTAATACTGTCCACGGCTACCACAGCTTTTGTGAGGCGTGAATTTGTGAGTAGATATGGGAACACTTTGAAAATTAAAAATGCAATGCAAGGAAACTATCAGCTCAGGACTTTCATTACGCATCAAGCCTATAACATAAAAGAACAAAATTGGTTTTCCATATGGTCTGAAGTAGCTGACTGGCTATTATGTTTGGGAGCATGTGGGGAAAACTTTCTTTTCTGATGTACATTTACAAAAACTTCTCATAAGAACAATTGAGCAGTTTTGAAAAGATAGACCATTAAAACATACACATAAAATAAGATAGTCTAGATACAGCCTAAGTTCATCTTTTTTGTGATCATGTTTGAATTACATTAAGGCATCTGATTGCTATGTGGGGCAAGGACTATGACTGGTCATGTCCCCATCTCCAGTGCTTCAGTCAGAGTCTGGCACAATAGTAGGCATTCAATGTTTATGGAATGAATAGATGGATGAATGAATGAAAAGTTGGGTCTTGGGTTTTTAGGCGGTAAGCTAGTAGGTTAATGACATCTATCAGAGAAACCACTATGTTCCAGTTAGAGTACTAAGAATTCAGCTTCATCTGCTGTATTTATCAAAAATCCTTGGTAAAATGTTCAACTAGCAATTGCATGATAATGATTGTATTCCCCAAAGACACACAAACAAAACATGGTGGTGGAGGAAGGTGAACATGGCTTATGTTGTAGAATTCATCCAAGCTGTGGGACACACATATCCATCCATCCATCCATGCACCCAGCAAATACATGTCTATTTGAACACATACACTAAACACACACACACACACAAAACATATATTCTCATTTCTTGGTTTGATTATTAAACCCAGCAATTTTGAGTTCATATGGAAAAAACAGACCCTCTTGTTTGACAGTTGAAGAAAGCTGTTGAGTGACAGTTTGAGTGAGGTAACATGGCAGATTAGCAATGCCTGACTTCCCCTAGTGGCTACATAAGGGGCCTGGGGCTCTGATTTGGGTTGGAGTCCAGGAGCCTGAAGTAGGTGGATGAGTGATTAGAAGTGAGACTTGGTTATAGGCCATGGGTGTAAAGTCTGAATTCAAGCATTGGTGATCCAAAGGGTGAAGTCTGTGTGCTGGGATAGGATAGGATGGTTTAAGAGACAAGTCTTAGGGTAATCCCCAAATAACACTGCAGGGAGCTAGAGAGAGAGACAGAGAGCGAGAGAGAGAGAACTTTTTACTAGGGACCTATCACCCAGTCTGTTAAAGATGCTTTGCTAATTCAGACAAATGCAGAACATTTCTAGAGCTTGGATGTTCTAACTTCTAGGTCATTTCTGAAGGCACCACAGAAAATCAGCACATTTTGCCAGCAGGGCAATGTACTAAGCATATTCCAGAAGTAAAAAACCCAAGCAAATGGTCAGGATGGTGGGCATTGTGATAGGCACAGCCAGATCTGCTTTTTTTTTGGGGGGGGGGGCTCATGCCCCTCCCCCCAGCTGACAGACCCCAGCTGCTTCCAGGCAATTATCTCTGCTGAAGAAAACCCTTCCCCTGGAAGGTCTTAGTTCGGTGACTGCTCACATAAGGAGAATAAACGTATGGCTTCCTCATTCCAATGTAAGCAGCTAGGAAGTGTCACTCTGGCTCTAAGTGGGACTAGTTGAGGACCGCACTATAGTAGCATCACAGCTCCCCTTCTCCCTCTGCTCATCTGCTCCTTTCCCTTCCTGGTCCCGGGTGCTGCTTCCAGAAGCGCCCTAACCCCCTGACCACCCCCCATAAACACCTGCAAGCTTCTCTCCATCCCAGAGGCCACTCCCCTGCCAGGGCCTGACCTGCTTTCCCGGCTGACAGTCAGCTGATTGTTTTTCAGGAGATGGCTGTGACAACCGTCTGACAACTTGTCGTGAAGGTCTATGTTAAGATCTAAAGAAGATGGGTGAAGACCAGATAATGTCCTGACACATCAGCGTTTGGCTCTACTGCTGTCAGCTCACTTTAAAGAGGCAAGGCCTTTCCCGCAAGGCTTTGATCATCTCAGCAAGAGGTTTTTGATTTTGGTTTTTTTTTTTTGTTGTTGTTGTTGTTGTTTTGCCCATTTTACAGATTTGGAAACCAATGCCAACGGAGGGTTACTGCCATGAGCAAGAACCCATGAGTAAAGCAGCAGAAAAGGGACTTCGAACTGATCTCTTACAAAATAGATGAAAACAAGACTTTAAAACCAAGAGGACTGGGATTTATGAGGGGGCCACAGGCAGGGAGGCGGGCGAGAGAGCGTCTCTAAGGATCTACTGAAGTATCAATGGCATGGCACTGATGTGTAACCCAGGGGATGCGCTGACTCAGCCTGGCAGGGAATTCTCAGGGACCCTGGGGATGGGGAAGGGACAGTTGAAGATGCTCCCCACCCCTCCCCCCTCCCCTCCCCTCCCCCCGCCCCTTGAGGTGAAAGATGCAGTGAGAGAGGCCTGGTGACACTTTCTGGGATGGGCAGCTCTAGCCCCAAAACTGAAAAAAGCAACTTTTCTGTGCAGGATCTCGGGGTCTTACGGGAATCCCCACCATTTCGGCCAAGACACCAAGCTTTTCGTAACAAAGACTCACGCTCTCTTGGGTCCCACAAATGACACACACATAGCTGCATGTACAGTCCTGTGTGATGTACACGCATATAACGTTGTTAACATTTATAGGTCATTCCCCGCCCCCCCCCCACTAGTCCCTGTCTGTGGCTGATTGTCCCCCAAACTATCCCCCCCACACACCCCGCAGCGCTCCGCGAGCTCAGCCTCGGATTGCGTTTCTCGCTCAGCGGTGTGTGTGTGGGGGGGGGGGCGGTGTGTCCCAGACACGCACGCGGAGCCTTGCGCGCCGAGTCCACGTTTTCCCACGGTTTCCCCCTCTCCTCCCGGACCCCGGTCCTCCGCGGCGGCCGCGCAGCCTCCCGTGCGGGGAGAGCCTGCAGATGCAGCTGCGCCCCCGTCTCCGCGGCCCCGGTGCAAGGCGGGCGGGCGAGGCGGCCCCGGGGCAAGCCGGCCGCTCTCCGGCGTCCGTGGCCCGTCCGGGCTCC